ATATGTGAGATAATGGTGGTATCTTGAATCATAAATTTTAATTTACCATTAAGTACCACAATCTTGGACATATCCTTAACTTTTAAATATTAATATAAACATGATTATTATCTAATTATTTGAAATCCTCATAGACTTTAGGTTCCACTGTAAAATTTGTTAACCAAATTAGTCCAATAGATTCTACAGTTTTCCAAAACTTCAAGGGTATCCCATATAGAACTAAAACTTTACCTCTATGCATATTCTTTAAAGATGACTCAATGTTACTTTTTTGGATTAATATACATTTAATGATTCTATATCTTATGTTCTTCTAAAAAACATTTCTTACCAAAAATTCTTATCTCATAATTTCTCAAAATTAAAATTTTAATTTATCTTTGATGTTCTTGTCTTTAACTAAGATTCTAGCTAATTCATTTATAATACAGCTAACTTTGAAGTCAAGTACACACCACACATGACAAGCTAGAATATAACTTATGAGTTATGGCTGAGAAAATAGCTTAATAAGCAGTGACCTGCAAACTTTCGAATGTAACAAATAGAAAGCAAGAATACAAACATGACATCGTATTAAATTACACTCCATCAAATTCCACAAAACAATACAGCGCATGCATCAATTATTAAAGCACAAAACATTCCAACAAACGACATTCGTCAAACAATATATGAATATTCAAATGCGGGTGTCTATCAAAGAAGAAAGACCAGCAAAATTACAATAAGAACAATCCAAAGTAGATCTTGCCAAAAAATAAAATGTAACACAGAATTTTTCAAAACATTATTTAAAAAAAAAAAAACCTAAACTCCAATATATCAGAAAAATTAGGTTAGGGATTGCTAATATGGCAAAAACATGAAATGAATCCCACCTTTCCGCTCCAAGTATAAGCGTCGGTATGGCAAAGAGCGGTGAAGAGGATCTTGATCCTAACCTCCCCTGCCTGCGGTGGTGCAACCTGCACATCCTCTATGACCAGCGGCTTGTTCGCCTCCCACGCAACCGCAGCTATTATAAACCCAACTCAAACCGAATCATAAGCCAAGAAAGCAGATAATTTCATATTCTAGAACAAAAGTAAAAACAGTAAATCGGAGTAGATCACTCTACCTTTGCAGGTGATAACTTGACCCTGAGTCGCCATGAAAAAGAAGGAATTAGAAGCTTTGCCGCTCTCTTTTCCTATACAACCGCAAGCTAGCCCTCAGTCACTGTTCCGGCGGAAAATGGAACCGAGAGAGGCGAGATGACTAGTTGGAAAATGAAGGCTGTGGCTAACCTCTGCATGGATGGTGTGGATACTAGATGGCGATCGCTCTTATGGCGGTCCAGTCTGGGAATGGGGACGCATGTTGGGATGGGTTGGGTCGGGCTGTGGGTCTTGTCGAACCCAACTCAGCCCACTGCTAACAAGCTGTTACGGCCTTACGGGTCGGGTACGGATTGTAAGGGTGCAATGAGTTGGGTCGGGTTGGGTTGAAAATATAAATATGAATATTTAGGAGCTATATTCCAGGTAAAAAATAACAATCATGCAACATGTGATAATGTACTATTGGAACTGTTAAGAGGAAAGCTAAATAATATGAATAGATTAGATTAATTTTAAATTTTTGTTTTGTTTGGAGTTGGGTCGGGTTGGGTTGAAAATATAAATATGAATATTTAGGAGCTATATTCCAGGTAAAAAATAACAATCATGCAACATGTGATAATGTACTATTGGAACTGTTAAGAGGAAAGCTAAATAATATGAATAGATTAGATTAATTTTAAATTTTTGTTTTGTTTGGGATGATTTTTTTATTGCTTTTTTAAACCATTTTTTAGTTTAAAAAATACTAAAAAATTGCTTTAAAAAGCAGTAAGAAAGCCGCCCCAAACGAATCCTTTGTGTGGTGTTATGAGCAATTTATTTATTAACACGAAATTATATATGTCCACTTCCCCTTGATTAAAGAAGAAGGGATTACAAAGTAACGAACTCATGATTGGTCTCCTATAATTATAATGGAGATTGCTGGAAAAATAGTTGAGGGATGGGCGACTACAAAGGACAACGTCGATGGCTGGTGGACTCTACGATATCGGATGTTTGAATATATTTGAAATACTTGATTTGGGCTCATTTCGATTTGAATTTGATCACTTTCGTGTCATTGAGTGTCATTAACTGTGCTACGTTGAGATTCTCAGTTCGATAATAAATTATTTTATTATTATTATTATTATTATTGGGCTAGGGCTTGAAAAAATTTTTCCTTTTTATGTTTTCCATAATTAAAAAAAAAAAAAAAAACCTAAAAAAGAAGACATAAAAACATAAGCGTTCAGCTTTAGGAACGGTGAGTGTTGAGGCTAATTGGAAGCTATGCCAATCACCTGTGGTCGGTTACAGAATTGGAATTAAAGGGGAGCCAAATTAACTAAAATGCAAGGCAAAAATTTTTATACTTCACATAATTACAAGAGATTCTATGAGCAAAAATTTTATATCATATTATACATAATTATAAGAGGGTTTATTCCAAATTTAGAAAGTCATAGTACATTATAAGGCTTGCGCTTGAAACAACTTTTTTTTTACTGCTTCATAAAATAACTTTTTAATACAAAATTTTAATTTTTATACTAAAAAACTGATTTAAAAAACAATTAAAAAAAAAGTCGTCGCAAACGAAGCCCGAGTCCATTGATTCTACCGCTAACTTTTGCATTCACGTGCATAAAGCTGAGTTCAAATGAGCCGGTCACAACTTTCAATTTCAATTCAAGCTAAATGAGTCATGACCCACCGAGGCTTAGGATGGTTGGTGGGCGAGCACGGTAAGGAACCACCCATCCCGGGTTCGAATCCCCTCTACTACTGCCTTGCCTCTTCAGTGGGGCAAATCAAGTGTGAGTCCGATGATGGTGGATGACCTTGTTAGATCCTGCCGAAGGATTAGCTACACTGCTAAACACTAAAAAACAGCAGATAGAACCCCCATTCCAAAAAATATATATAAGTCAAGTATGAAACAGTAAACAGATTTTGCGAGTCCCCTATGCTTGTCTGAATTTCAGCGCTGTATCTTACACTGATTTTTCTAAAGTTTGTCCTCTGGTGCTCATCATTCTCAAAAAAAAAAATCCTTGGTCAACACCTTCCAGACCAATTTGATTTGAAGGTCAGCTTACAACACTGCGACGGTGATCAAATAAGCATACTCATTTGAAGTGTTATAACAAAGATGTTGATCGATTTGAAGCGGGCATGTGGCAGTGATTGATAGTAGGGGAAATCACGCTCAAGTCAGATTCACACAAGGCTCATCTCTGAATACAGGCAAATTATTGCATCCGGTCACCGGACGCGGAGGATAGATTTGGACATCCAATAAAAACTTGTCACGTCACCTGTGCTTTTGACTTGCGCTTTAACTGTGTTTAGGTGCACTTTAGTTTCGGTTTTGACTTGTGCTTTACCTGCGCTTTTCTTGCGCTTAATTTAAAATAATATTTTATTAATATCCGAACCTATCTCCCCGTCCGGTGACCGGATGCAATAATTTGTCCTAAATACAAGATTTGTATGTTCCGTGAGCATCTAAGGTATCGTTTGGGATAGCTTTCTTGCTGCTTCTTAAAACAATATTTTAGTACAAAATTTAAAAATTTTATATTAAAAAGCTATTTTAAGAAGTAGCAAAAAAACCGAACGAAGCTTAAATCAGTATTACAGGGAGGTCAAAATTAAACAATTCCCTGAACATAACAAAGATGAGGCTCACTCATAAGCTCTATTAAGGTCACTGCGAGTTGAAACTCTGGATTGTTTGATCTGGGCTGGTAGTACAAGATGCTACGATTGTAAAGGATTCAGAATGTTTAACGGAGCAAGAAATGAGTTTAAAACAACAAGTAGAACACTCCACTCTGCGGGCTCAAAGAAGAGAGAAATGCGTTCCCAATAACACAAGATCATAGCGCAATATATCTCAATGGCAACTTTTAGCAATCAAGACATCCCATGATGCTATTTGAGGCAATCGACAGGTAACACTATAGTGGGAGAAATCATTAGGTGCGGAGACCGGACGTAGAGGTACGTTCGGACTTCAATAAAATGTTGACACATAGAGCATACACGTTTGATTTATTTTTTACTTTATATATTTAATGTGTCCACAGAACTTTGAACCAAGCGCACCAAAAACGCAGCCAAAGAGCTGGTAAAGTGCAGATAAAATGCAGGTAAAACATAGTCAAAGCGCAGTAAAAAAGTGCAATAAAAGAGCAGTCAAAGCGCAGTTAAAGTGCAGGTAAAGCGCATGTAAAGTGCACAAAAAAGCTCAACCAAAATGCACTCCACGAGTCAAATTTTAATTAGATGTCCGGACGTATCTCTACGTCTGGTCTCCGCACCTATAGTTGAACATACCAATGATGTCAATAAAAGTTTTTCGTAATCAAAATCCATGAAAAAAAGCAATTACATAGTTGTGATTTTCATTTTGACGTGTACAGAAGAGTCTTGATACTGCAACATTGGCACCAGCCACAGGAACCAAACGGCAAGAGAAATGTCTACTGGTCCTTAATCTGTACAGATAACTACACACAGATAACTACACATCTTGGCATCGTAACTACATACCTTTGCCATTGTGGTGTGCAGCGAAGATACCACGTAGAACTGATTGATGAAGACAGAGATAGGAACAATAGATAGGAACAATTGTCTGATAAAATGGTATAATAGAGTGATTTCATTGAGGTTGTGCCAGTTAGCTACTGCTTTGTAAGAGATAAGCGCCATAGGCATTCATATTCTGGCTTGCGCTTCTCCTATAACAGATGGTTTGCTAAGAGCAGGATAAAGGGATGAAGCCGAGGATATATTGCTCTCCTCCATGCTTCCACTGTTATAATCGGTACCTAAGAGCTCAGCTTCAATGGAAGCTAGCATTCCCCGTATCATCTCCATATTGTTCGACACTCCAGGTTGTATTGACTGGAAGTTACCTAGTGGAGAAACTACTGCGGTCCTCTGTACAGAACTTCTGTGAAGTTGATTGAAATAGAAGCCTGAATTTTCATCACTTGTGCTGCCAAAGTAGTTGGGGAGAGGTGGCATTCTCAGAGAAGAAGGAAAAGATTGGGATCCAATCGACTGTAGAGATCCTCGGTTGACTGGTAGGTTTCTTAAGCCACTAAGAGAGTTGAGCAGTAGAAGCTCTCTTGGGATGGATGCTGAAGTTGAGCTCTGGTGGAGCGCATTTGATAAACCTAGCAATGGATGGTGCATATCTTGGGAGATTCTTAAGGGTTGTGGATTTGACTGTCTGCTCCCAGGTAACCTTACTGGTTCTGGGACTTCTGTAAGGACCAATTTGAAGTAATTCCTCAGCGATTTCCAGTCTTGTTCTTTTTCACTTGCATGACAATGGTCTGTGGTTGAAAGGCCATAACCCCAATAGATACAGGGAGCAAGAGAGTCACAAACATAGCAATGGCACTGCAATATGAAGTCCTTATTAGGCTGGATTTCCAGGGATATTAAGCATGAGGAAAACTAGGTAGCCAGGTAAAGGCTTCGTTTGGGACGGCTCTCTTTCTGGTTCTTAACGTAGCTTTTTAGTAGAAAAAAATTAATTTTTGAACAAGAATGCTGCTTTAAGAAGTAGTAAGAAAGCCATTCCAAACGAAGCCAAAAACTTACCAGTTTACAGTGCTTTTCATGTGGAGTGCTGCTGAAAGGGTAGGTGACGCACAGATGACGGGGATGGGGATAGTCTCTGCAAGCCAACTGCCAAGACAAAAACGGACGATCATCAAACATACATAGAAAAATTTTAAAAAGTTTCAAAAGAATTAAATGAGATGGCCATGCCTCAACGTCAGTGAGACTTCTAAACTGCTATACTCATGAACCAGCTCAACCTCGGGAGGAAGAAACCCAAAAAAGTGAAAATCAAGTTATTACCAGCCTCTAGTTACAAGAGACAATCCACATAAAAAAATAAGAAAAGACGAGAGAAAAGTGGAGGGTTGCATTAGGAAGTCGACAGTCAGCGTAAAACTTGTCGAATAGTCATCACATATGAACCAAAATACCAAAGCAAATAATTGCTAATTATATTTTGTAGTCAATGATGAATTAAACTAGAGCTTAGGCATTAAAAAAAATAATGCAAAAAAGAAAGGATCCCTGTTGTTAGATACACTAGGTGAGTTCCTAATTAACACTTCCTCACACAACAAGAAGACAACATTATGTACAATAAGCTGAAAACTTCTAGAGAAGATGTGGCAGATGAAAACTTTATTCTGAACAAAAATAAACAAATTCTCTCAGGAAAAAATATACCATTATGTACTTATGTTGAAAAATGTTCATTGAACGACTTAACAATCTCATTTGACTAATAAAGATACAAATCTAACTGTATATAGTACATAATGAAAGTTATTATATTTAAATTCAGCAAAGGGTGTAATGCTATATATATTCTTCCAGCTTTAGTGTATATAAGTTTTCTTTTCTTTTCTTAGAAGAGTTTATATATATAACTCATTGGAGAACATCTTATACAAGGGAACTCATGACTCCAAATGAAACACCAAGCAATCAAAGAAAAGTATAGACTTAATACTAAAAGCTAGTAGTTATAGTGATCCCCAACCATTTGGATCAAGACCCACATGGCAAATCGTTCAATGATGAAACGATGGGATCTGGTCGTGTTTTCCATCCATCCCATAGTCTTTTTCCTTATCATGAAGCAATACAATGGGACATGAATGCCATAAAGAGAGTACCTAAAATGCAAATCCAAAGAAATTCAATTAATTAAGAATAATCTTCTAACTAAGAGGAATTACTAACTAAGGGGCATTGGACCTATAGGAAGTCTACATCCACATGATTAAACAAAAACATTCATATCAATAGAGAACACTAGTAACACTATGTTAATATACCTCCTATTAAATATCCAACGTCTTGTTACAAGAACACTAATAATTCTTTTCTAGAGCTTACAATACACAAGAATCAAGTGCCACATATAGCTAGAAAAAAAGCCATTCCTATAAACTGAAACATGTAAAAAGATTACAAGTATTATTTGTAAAATTAAATATAGAGAGCCATTATTACGATCCACCTGAGTATATAACAATGAGGTAATACTTTAATCACCTTGTAATTCAAATCAACTGCGATCCATTTTGAAGTTTCCCTTGCATGCACACACACATACGCAAATAAAAGATGGAAGGAGACAAATAAAGAAAAAGTTGCTTGAATCTGTCTTTGATGGAGGGAGGGAAGGAAGGGAAGGGAGGATGGGAGGGAGATTTTAAACGAGATTATTTTGGTAAGAATATTTTATTAATGTTAAATATTGTTAAGTAGAATTCACAAAGACATTAATTTGAGATAATTATAACACAGTTCCATAAATTGAATACAATTTCAGCTGTGAGTAATGCATAATCATTATGAAATTCTCATGAAAACATCCTCAAAACCATACTACACCTAAAATTAAACGTTGCACATAAGTAGCCTGGTAAAAAGTAGCAAAATTTTGAAATTTGATAAATATTGATTATAGCATCTGATTAGCATGATAACTCGTTAGTTCAAGGGTATAAAGGAACCATCTAGTATTCATTTATCATTTGATGCTCAACTTGAACAAATGTTGAAAGACATCACTTTAATGAATCCATTATATGTTTGATAAAGAAAGTAGACTTGAATCCCTCTTTACATGTTTTATCGCATAGAAAATATCCTACTAAACAAAAGAGACTTGCAAAGAAGTAATCAAGAACAGAATAGAAAACAATTCCAAAGTATAAGGTAACAAGCAATTCTTCATGAATAAATATGCATGATAAAACAAACTGAAGGATCTGTTGATTGTCTAATAATTAATGCTGGTCATTTTTCATTCAAACAAACAATTACAAACTGCAAGGTTCTAATTCAGTGCGACAAGCAAGAATAATGTAACACAAGAAAAGAATGATAACATACATGTCCCTTTTCTCCAACTATGAGCAATTCAGCGCAGCCATCAACAGATTCACTTTGGCCATCAACCATAGACACAACCTTATCAGGGTCGCCATCTAGAATCAAGCAGTCCTCATCACATTCTTTTTGCAAAGGGCTAGGTTTCTTCATGCTTGATCGTGAAGAAAGCTCATCCACAACCATAACATCATCCAATTCCCCTGGCACTCCTACATCTGCAGATTCAAGCAATTCATTGAGCCATTCTTCACTTATATCAAAAGATTCATCTGCCAAGTTCTCCTCATCCGAGCTAATATCGATGATGGCATCACCTTCATCCATAGAATCCAAAAGAAGATTTCTTACTCCCAAAAACTCAAAAGCAAACAAGACAGAAAAGGATTGCAGCAGTAGTTCAGCATCTACACAGCCTAAGCCCCAATTCGACACCAGAGAGCCAGCAATACTGGATACATGAAACAAAAAAACACCATACTTCAAAAGATGAAATAGCACTCAAAAAAATTCGCATGAATCAATAAAAGATTCCACTTGATTCCAAAAAAGAATAAGAAAATTTTACATAACAACTACGAATAACAGACAAATTGTCTTCGATTTAAGTAGGACATCAACCTTTCATCAAAATTTGGGCACATTAATTAAAAAAATCTGCTTCGACCACCATTCGAGAAGCATCGTTGTAGAGGCAAACCTTTATTCGAACAGAAATCGTGACAAAAAGAGATGAGCAACCAACGATAGCAACTGAAGCTTGAAAAAAAGATCCCCGACGATCTTCTTCTCGCCGAACGGTACAAAATAAACCCTAGCCTGTCGTGTAGTCCGCCAACGCGCATCCCACGCGAGAAGGAAACATTATTTTTTTCAGTGGTAAATAATTAATTGATAAAACTCTCCGACAAAATATTTTTTTTTTATTTTTAAACTAATAGATAAGATATTTTATGCCAAATATATTTATTTAAAAATTGATGAATTATTTGACTCTTAAGACCGAAGAGTCAATGGTTAAGTAATTTTGTTTAAGAAATAAAAAATTGCGTGGTTGATCAGCTGTGTATTATTTGTTTATTAATCAGGTATTATTATAGAGGAAATGCAAATTAAATTCAAATTTATTATAGATATAAATTAATTATTAGGTAAGAAAAATTCGCTCAATTATTTAAGTGAGATAACAAAAATCCACCTTTTTCTTGGTTAAAGATTATGGTAGAAGTTAAGAGTGTAAGTGAGTTAAACCGATTCGTAAGTTGACTCAGGCTTGACTCTGATAATCACTTGAGCCAAGGTCGATGAGCTAATGAGTCAATCTTTAATTAGCACTTACTCGACTTGTTAGATCGTGAGCCGTCTCATTTAAAAATATAAATATTAATATAAAATACACTTAAAATATATTAGCATTTAGGATTTTAAGTATAAAATTATTAAAAATATATTAAATTTATATCTCATTTTCTTATATTAAGTTATTATTTATTATTTTTCTTTTAATTTCTCGTTATTTTATCATTTTATCATAATGATTGCTTAAATCTTAATCATTTTCATTCTTACAAAGCAAACGAGCCCGCCATGAGCCAGCTTAAACTCATAGATTTAAGGTCAAGCTTGAGACCAAACTCAATTAATTAATCAAGATCAAGCTCAAGATAGGGGTGACTCGAGTTTGGCGCGACTCATTTACACCCCTAACAGAAATAATATAGCAAAATGACAATCATACTATGTCGATCAAGTAATGATAGTTAAGTGATGTAAATTAGGTAATGGGAGTTGGACAATGATAATGGAGTTAGTGATTATACGATGATGGTTAGACAATAGCTATTGTTAGTGATGATCATCACTTTATTCATCAAATAGAGATTTATAGTGATTTTGCTCTCTAAGTATCTACAAATAATCTTAAAATAGCACTCCAAACACCTTGTTCTAAAATCATTTGATCATAGATCTTTTTTTCTATCATTTAAGCTCCTTAACGGCATTTGAATTGAGTTTGAACTCGTTAGATTTTCCTAGTGAAGCTGCCCATTTTAATAAAAGTGCGCAAACTTTAATGATCATTTGATCCTCTAATTAGTTTAACAAAATTTTCAATCATGCTTCAAGTGCCTGATTTTGACTCATTTGATCTCATATCATATTCATTTTGATGTCGTTGAATTTTCTAGTCTAAACATTCAATTCAACTATAAATATGTTGAAATCAAATTCAGATGACCTCAATATCTTCATAATTTGATTGATGATTTTTCTAATGACATGTCATTTATAAATAACTAAATAAGATATGTAACAAAATCTTGAATATGAATTTTATAAAAAATTCATATAACCGCCGTCCGCCGACTACCGTCTCTCCAAACTCCTTCGTCCGATGACTATATATGATCAAACGAACATACTAACATTCACTTGATAATAGCTCTCATATCATCAGATTCTTCCCACATAAACTAAGCATTCTGATGTATATTTTCTACATTCAAGGGAAAGCCATTGAAATTCATTATGGAAATATTTATTATTAAAAAACAAAACAAACGGCAAGAAAACATCATAAGATTGTATATTAAAAATAAATTAAAAACATTTTTTATGTAGAGTTGTTAATATAAATTATATAAAACAAATGGATGAAGTCAATGTAAATATTTGAGTATGACATTATGAGTTTATAATTTTCAATAAAAAGAGGTGAAAATGGCATATTGATCCCTGCTTTTATATTTTTTTACTCCATGATACAACCTTTCTTGCAACATTAAATCTTAGTTTACATAATAATACTTTTAAAAGGTTATTTTTGTAAAGGGTAAATGTTCACCATGTCTTTTAACATTGTGCTACACCATAATGTGAAGTATTTGAGTGAAATGAGCGAATAAAAATGTAAACTATATAATGAATTTGAATTAATCTGATAAATTACATCCCTTCATAAAAATTAAAAAAAAAAACAAAAAAAAACAAGAATATACAAATCGGATAAAAATAAGGTTTATTGAAATTTATATTCATATGAGTTTTAAAGCTTTTAGATTTACTTTGAGATGAGTGCAATATAATTATTTATGTATTACACTCATCTGAAATTATATTCAAGAGTTTTAAAACATATTTTTTAATTTTTATGAGGATATATTGACATAAATATTTTTCATCTAAATTGAGCTCATGAGACTAAGGTTTTGTTTGGGACAGCTTTCTTACTGCTTTTTAAAGCCCCTTTCTAGCTAGTACAAATTTTTAATTTTTGTACTAAAAAATTATTTTAAAAAGTATTAAGAAAGCCATCCCGAATCCTAAGGCTTCTTTTAGGATATCTCTTTTAGGTAGTAGTCCAATGGCCGCTCGGGTGGAGCTTCAAGTTGCTCCAAGTCTTTAATTTTTTTTTTTTAATCTCTAACCAATAGTCCTTATATAGAGAATATGAGGCCTATTATTAATTTTTTAGAGTGGCATATCCTGTAAATATGGAGAAAATTCAGAGTACTCTATCGAACAACCCACGTTAATTTATTTGATCAAGAGCATAATTTAGCATTTAATTACCTTAATCTTGTTTAACTTAAGTGATCTTAGGCTTATTGGATTTTGATTTTAAGCATGTCAAACTTAGAGATCATTTTGTCATCCAATTAATTTTTTAAAATTTTCACCTATGCTTCAAACTTTTCATATGGTCTTATTTTGACTCGAACCATAAATTTGTTGAATTTTGAATTTAGGTTTAATTTGTGATAATTTTTTTATTGCTTTCTGAATCAGCCATTTTGCACAATTTTTTTTGAATTTGAAATTTTGTAATAGAAAGTTGCTTTAGAAAGTAGTAAAAAAACTATCTCAAACGAAGCCTTAATTTAAAAACTTTCAAATTAAGGTTTTGTTTGGAACGGCTTTCTTACTGCTTCGTAAAGAGGCTTTTTAGTAAAAAAATTAATTTTTTTATTAGAAAGCTGCTTTAAGAAGCAGTAAGAAAGCCGTCTCCAAAGAAGCCTAAATGTTCATTTAGAATTGTTATTTGATCTATCATATTTTTTATGAAGCAATAATGACATAATGTTAATATCACTCAAAATTTAAACATTGCAACAAAATCTTAAAATTGACTTTTCGTAGCTTCCATTAAGGTTTTATTTGAGACAGTTT